ATGAAAAATGTATCAAATTCAAACTTAAGTTCAATTCGGTAAAGGTGAAATTCATCCGATTCACCTAAAAAATTTTGTAGCTAATTTTTGTACACATACACACCCATATAGAAGGTGCACAAAACATATATTTTTTTTTTTCATCACCAGAGTTATATTCAAGACATAATCAGACTAGTAAACAGAATAGTGATTTTAAGGTAATAATATTTGTAAAATTTCAGCAGTAACATATTATAAAACCTAACTATTTTGATGCTTTATTTATTATTTTAGAGATGATTCCTAGATCTGTTAATCTTAATAAATCTAATAAATTATGTATTTTATTTATTTTACTGGCAGTTCCATACCGAACGCTTGTGTAATCTTCTTTCATTTTCTTCAAACTCTAGTTTGTAATACTTTTGTCTTTTCCTAGAATGGTTTAATTTATTAAATAAAAGTATGCATTAATTGGTAAGTTAGAACAATTATTAAATTACTGGGTCTGTGCAAGAATTTATTCCTGAAAGTTTTATAATAGAATCCATTTCTTGTGCCTTTTCTGATTCAAATAAGCGCAGACATTTACTGATAATTAGTTTCTTAAATATTGTCTTATTCCTATCTTTTCCAGAACTTACTTGCACAGATTTCATAGCCGAGCAAAGAGCCACATAATGAGGTGAAAACATTGTTCTTTAATTGCCTATAATGTAAGATAAAAAATCAACAAAATAAACAACAAGTTAATGAGTAATAATTTAGAGATATTTTATTCATTGCTTATAAATCACCTTTTCAAAAATTAAATCAACTATTTTCTTTAGTAGTTCAACAATATCAATTGGTTAATGCACTAAAATGTTCAGCTAAAGTAATAATGTTATCACTTGTAATTTTATTTAAAATTGATGCGACATTTGTACAGAATTCCTGAAATTAATATAACAAAAACTGACATTAATAGCATATATAATTTATAATAGGGTATGTATAGGTTATGATATTAGATAAATACCAATTACTTGTATAGTTAAGTAGTTTAACACATGAATAATAAAACCTGTACATTTTTCAATACCTTTAAAATTTTATATGATTATTTTAATTTTATTCAACAAGTCAAAACCCTACATAATGCTATATAGAATTTAATTTTAATAATCTGATTATTAGCACACAGAAGTTAATAAAACTAAGGTGTGATACAAATAGATAATGAATAAACTAAACCAATAAATCATTTATATTTCTTCTTTAGTTTTTAATTCCTCTGATATTTTATTTTTATGCACATTAACTTAGGTAGTTTTTTGCTACTTTTGGTACTTTTGATCTGATGATTTTGTAATATCAGCTTTTCAACTCCTTGAGTTCCTTTTAACAAATAAGATCATTTCTGAGTTGAGTAAAATAAATTCTCTCATCAGTTTGATTTATAACACTCGATTGGCTTAGAAGTAAAACATTTTATATGAATACCTTAATTATGATTAAATTAATATGGTTAATCAGAAAATTTAAATTATAACAATTAAAAGATAAAAATAGAAAGATAAGATAATGGAAATGGGTACAGCCACTAGTGTAGATGGAAAGTTGGGAAGGTAAGATATAAATAGGAATTTAATGTATATCTATAAGCAACAATTCACTTTATTACACCACGTTTTATTGCTTCCAAAAAAAACGATTCTGAGCGGAGTTAAGTTAATAGTAATGCATTGTCAACAATATATATGTCATTTTATAGTAAAATAATTAAATAGGCTTTATATATTTTCTTAAGTAAAATGTATTAAATGTTGTACCAATTTTCCCAGTTTTCTTATGATTTTCCTATTTTAAATTTGTTTAAACTATTTTAACATTAACTCCAACAATATCAATTTTTATTATTTTATATTACAGAATATTGTAATAATATTTTAGTTATATACTTAACAAGTAACATTATTATTTATAAAATCATTGTAAACTAAATTAAAATTATAAAATAGAGTAATTTTATAACTCATTTTTTCTGCCACAAACTACGATTAATGTACTAATCATTTAATACATTTGTGAGTTTACATTTTACATAGTTTTTGGGTTTTCTTAATTATTATGAAAACTGATTGGAAAATTAAAAAATGCACCAACAAAATACGAAATTCAAAAAAAGGATCTTGTCATTTTTCAATTGGAGCAAGATTTCTGGTCAAAAAGTAATACACCATAATAAAACCGATAGATTCCTCGCTACGCTTCAAATCCGAAACAACAAATATTATAATCTCAATGAATTCTTGAACAGATTGACTAGCGTATGTCAGCTGTCGGGTCCAAATATTTAAATATTTAAGTGTACTTCAATAAAATACATACCATCTCGAGTAAAATGTGTGGGTATAAAAAAAAGAATTCATATTTCATTTGTACTTTTTTTTTTTTTTGGACTCCATCATACACGTTAATATTCAATTTCAAAATTTATTTTATTAAAATAATTATATTTTGATGGTGAGCTTGAAAACAGGATAGATAGCAAAGCTAAGCAAGTTTCTCAAATACGCTAACTCATTAAACTAACGTTCTCTTCTTCTCCTTCACCTTCATCTCAAATATTTATTAAACAGTTAGTTATTTATTATAAATAAAAATATAAAAGCAATTTAAAAATGTATTTACATTTTATTTTGATAATTTTATAAGGTTACTTCCCTACTGAAAATTAGAAAATAACTACATACTTTTAGATTCTGAGCAGAGTGAAGACCATATTGGTTTTATACATGTATATTTTCTTTTAAATTTTTTTTTTTCTGCGACTATCAGCAACTATTAGAAATCTTGTTCCAANATCTTCTACATTTACATAGTGTTAACTTCTACAAAAAATAGATTTTTTTAATTTAGTAAAATTAGTAAATAGTCGGGAATAATAAATTTATTCAATTTGTTCTGAAATTATTGGTATGGATGCTACATACTACATACTACATACTACATACTTTTAGATTCTGAGCAGAGTGAAGACCATATTGGTTTTATACATGTATATTTTCTTTTAAATTTTTTTTTTTTCTGCGACTATCAGCAACTATTAGAAATCTTGTTCCAATCAAAAAATTAAAAGAAATTTCTTTTTGTTTTATTTTGANCCCTACTGAAAATTAGAAAATAACTACATACTTTTAGATTCTGAGCAGAGTGAAGACCATATTGGTTTTATACATGTATATTTTCTTTTAAATTTTTTTTTTTCTGCGACTATCAGCAACTATTATAAATCTTGTTCCAATCAAAAAATTAAAAGAAATTTCTTTTTGTTTTATTTTGATCCAAAATTAGTTAAATGTAGTTAGTACATAGAGGAGGTATTTTTTAATTTTCTAAACAGTTTTCATTACAATTGGGAAAAAATGTAGAAAATATGGGAAAAGCTTACAGCATTATTGGTTTTGATATTTTCAAATTTGATTTTTTTTTTTGTAAATTACTTAAAAATAATTGTAGAGCTATCATTTTCACCGAATACTTAAATTACCTTTGAATAAACATAATACAATTTTCATACTATTTTTGAACTATTTATAGGCATTTTTTATTTGCAAATTTTGTTTTACATAGTTTTTATTTTGAAGATATTCTGTGGATAAAATTATTTGAGTAACAACAAATGCTTAAAAATTTAACACGGAGTGGTCCATTATAAGTAGCACTAAATGTTAAAAAAAATAAAATAAAAAATGATGAGCGTAAAGTAGTAGTTTTTTTTAAAAATTGTTTTAAGATCAAATTTTAATAAAAATCATAAATATTATACTTCAAAACAAGAATAACTGAACTTTTCTCAAAATCATATTTGATTGGCAATGGTTAATTGTTGTTAACATATATAAAATAAATTACTTTATGTACCTTTCCATTAACCACCTATTTATTATTGTATTTAATATGTTGGCTTAAAAATAAAATATGATATTCAAATACCATGTGTTATGAATATTTTCAATTATTTTTTGTACTATGGTAACCTGATAACCACACACATGGTTTATATAATTTATAGTATTTACTAATTTTACAGTATTTACTGAAAAATAATGATAAATCAANTATTATAAATATTTGATACTTAGTTCTATACTTATATCATAAATACGGTACAAAATGTTGTCCTACTCATAACATAAACTGAGGACCTAGCAGTGTTAAGTCACACAAACATTTTTATTTCGGTATGTGTTAGATTAGAATATTTAATAATTTGGTTACCATCCAACTAGAGCTGGCAGTATTTTCAGTATACCGGTGAATCACTGGTATTTTCAAATACCAGTATACTACTGTTTCAGTAACCACCATTTGATCTACTGCAGAATATTTTCAATTATTTTTTGTACTATGGTAACCTGATAACCACACACATGGTTTATATAATTTATAGTATTTACTAATTTTACAGTATTTACTGAAAAATAATGATAAATCAAAAAATAAAACTGCTATGTCAACACAAACCAAATACCGCTGAACTAACATACCACAAACTCTACAAACAACACAAAGCACACATGTAGAAAATTATTCATTATTTAAATAATAATGCTTGTTATGATTCACATAACTGTTTAGTTGAGAGTCTATCTTTTTAGTGTGGTTGCTGTTGATCCATACAGGTGCGCAATACTCCGCAACTGAATACACTAATGCAATTGAAGATGTTTTTGACCACTGAAAGTAATTTTTAGTTTGGCATTAGCTTGCTTATTATTTAGATAAAATATAGAAGATTCAATTTTGCCAGGATTCAACCTTAGCTTCCAGTTCATGAAGTCAAAAAAACTACATTTTAATTCAAATTTAAAAAATTTAGGTAACTTGAGGCATAATATTGAGATAAAGCTTTCAAAATTGGAGTGGATTTTATTATATTTATTTAGAACTATCTTAGGGGGTGCATTCATAAAAGTTCAACCATGATTCATTTAAGAGCTGCCATAATATACATTAAAACCACCTTCTTATAACGGACACTCTATAAGGTAGAAAAACCATGATTTATAACAATTGTTTTATAAAAAAAGTAGTTATTATCACCTGTTGTACCAGTTTAATGAGATGTATTCCAGTTACCAATTTGTAGATACCAAGTATATGGAAAAAGGTTAGCTGTACATTTAGGATTGTATCTATGATCTTCATTTAAAATTGAAAGGATACTATTTAGAATTATGCTGATAAAATATTTCCTTCCTTTGTAAGNTATTCCAGTTACCAATTTGTCGATACAATGTATATGGTAAAATGCTGATTACATTGTCCTAAAATCATATTAACCCCTTTTTAAGAAGTCTGTACTCATGTTTCCCAAATGGTCTCCAATTGAGTTAGTGTTTTTAGATTATTTTCCTATATAAATATTATATTTACATTGATAATTTTACACATATTTTTAAACACATTCCAGGAATTCTTTTTTATTGATACAAAAAAAATAGAAAGTACTGAAAAATTGATTCAACATATAGACATATACACATTAAACAAATTAAGAAATTATAAAATTTTAAACATGTCATTAAAATATATTTAACTGTTTTTACTTAATGTTAATGGCTTATAATCTATATCTATCAATTCATTTAACCAAATATTTAAATTTTATATATGAAATATATCTAATTATCTTAAAATAATAAAATATGAATTTAGAACAATGTATTGATGATCAATGTAGATCAATTAATTTCCTGTAAAAAATTAGTTTGAATACATCCTAAAAAAACATGTTATAGGTACCAATATTCGTAGATACTGAATATTTAATTAATTGCAGATAAATTGATATGAATCATAAATATATACAAATTAAAAACATTAAGAAATTATTAAAGTATAATAATATCATTCAAAACCAATGTAACTGTGTAGATAAATATTATTTTGTATTTAAGGTAATTTTAACAGTGTTATTCTCCTAATATATAATATTTATATATGAAAGTAATCTAAAAACACTAATCTATTTAGAGAAAATTTGAGAATTATGTAATATAAATATGAATAAATATATCTATATACATATAAATATTAAACATGAATTTTATTGAGAATATGAGTGCAATATTCTTTAAAGATGTTTACACGAATTTAGGACATTTATACAAATCATTTTCACAATAATTTAACAATTTTAAATTTAATTTTTAAAAGGCACAATTTTAGGATTTTCATAATTAATTGAAAATTATAAAATTTGATAATACTTTTTTTAACATGAAAATTGTATTACTTAAAAGCTGAAGTAAGTTCATAACATAGAAGAATATCAGTACTTATTATAAATTAATGACATACCGGATGAACAGAATCCTCAATAAGAAATCTTGTTTAATATTAACATATATATAATAAATTAATTTACCCATAATTTTCTAAATTATACATTTAGAATTTTATTTATGATCTTCATTTAAAATTCAATGGATACTATATAGGATTATGTTGATAAAATATTTCTTTCCTTTGTAATAAGTACTGACATTTTTCAATGTTTATAAATCAACTAACTTTTTTCATGAATACAATTTTATTGAGAAAAATATTAATTTTATTATAAAGAAAAATATACTCAAGGCTATTCTTTGTTCATTCCAAAAAATCTTTTTGATTGACATCAGTACAACGTTTTGGTTATTTATATTTATAAAACAATAACACCCAGTAACAATTTAATATCAAAATCTTAAAAATACTTTAATCATTTCAAATTAAATTAGTTGAATTATTGTAGATATGACAAATAAAATATCCCAAAATCATATCAATCATATTTAATAAATATATAACTCATATTTTTGATATGGTTTGTATATGTGTTGGTGTTTTTGAATTATATTTATACACAAATATTGTATATCAGAAGACAGACATTGAACAATACACCTTATATACATAATACTAATAATCCACACAGTTTTATTTGTTGTCCATGATCTTTTTATAATTTCATAACTCCATGTTGTGTAATGTGTATATATGTCTTTAGTATATCAATTTACCAGCGATTTCCTAAATATTTTAAATTTTAACTGAAAATACCTAGAAAGTGTTTAATGAGATGAACCAAATTTTTAAAGAAATTAAGTGAGTGATTATAAAACCACTGATCTTATTCATTAATTTTTGTGAATTTATAGTTCTGGATACTAAAATTTAGTTAAATATTGATAGAAAAATAAAAATCACATAGAATTACACAAATATTTACATATAACACAACATTATTACATTATAATCACGTTATTGCAAATATCTATAGAACTACTAATTAATAATTATTAACCCATATCATAGTAGAGTTATATAAGCATTACATATGAAATACATTGTTTTAGGACATCTATTATGTAGTTAAATGTGTAAAAACAATAATTTATATATTTAATGTAAAACTTAGTTCAGAGATCCAATCTTAAAAGTATTACTAAAATAAAAAATTCTAAGTGCAAACATATGTATATATAATTATTTAACAAGATTTCTCATTCAAGATTCAGTTGATATAACCTATCTTTCATTTGTAATAAGTACTGACATTGTTGTAAGTTTATAAATCAAATTTTTTTTTTTTAAATTTAGTTTGAAAGAATCTCAATGAACATATTCTAGGTATCATTAGTAATGGACAATAAATATAGCAAAAAGTACTAATAAATTGACATGACACATAAATTTATACACATTATACGCAATATGAAATTATGAATGTATACAAGAGATATTCAGAAAAAATTTATCTATGTGGATCATTAGTTTTAGGTGTGGAAGGTATATTTTTCAATGTATTTTATATATACGACGATATATATAGCTATAAATCTGTAGAATTTTTCAAAATATTTATTTACCTATCGGTACTATACTAAAATATGAGTTTTCGGAACTATTTATTTATATATATAATACAAGAGCATTGATTTTATTGTACTTGACTTAATTTCTCTAAAGGTTAAATTTGAATGCATCTCATTAAACAGGTATTATTAGTTATAGATACAAAGAATATAAAGAATTGCTGATAAAGTGATATGACACATAAATATACACATTAAAGATATGCAAATATTATGTTATGTCATATAAATTTTTAAAGATATTAAGTGAAAAATCGTAAAATCATTTATATTTTACATTCCTATCCGTGAATACATAATTCTGGATATTTCTGAAGTTTATTGTTAAATAATGATAGAAAAATAAAATTTACATATAATTACACAAATATATAAATATAATAAGACACTATTTCATTATAATCATGTTTTTTCAAATATCTGTAAAAATAATATTTAATAATTCNTGAAAAATCGTTTATATTTTACATTCCTATCCGTGAATACATAGTTCTGGATATTTCTGAAGTTTATAGTTAAATATTGATAGAAAAATAAAATTTACATATAATTACACAAATATATAAATATAATAAGACATTATTTCATTATAATCATGTTTTTTTCAAATATCTGTATTAATAATATTTAATAATTATTAACCCATATTATAGTAGTGTTATATAAGTATTATATATGAAATATATTGATTAGGATATCTATTAGGTAGTTATGTGTGTATAAAAATTAATTTATTAATATAATGTAAAATTAAATTCAGAAATCCAATATTATATGTATTAACTCATAGGTATTTTGTGTACATTCCACAATATATTTTTATATTTACATCAGAAAAAATGTGTTGTTTTCTTAATATTTATTTAGTATATAATAATATATAATATTATATATATGTTATATTTATTATATAGTTATAATAAATATAACTATAATATTTATTACAAATAAACTGGTGAAATTAAAACCTTAAAAATATATGAATTTTACACAAAACAATGCTATATATTAAAATTAAAGTTCGCAAATTTAAAAAAAAAAAATTATCTACCACCTCAAAATTCACCGAACCGTAACCTCCCCTTTCGACCTTCATACGGGTTCACAAAATTAATAAAACCCAATGTCATTTTTTTATAAAAATCTCAAAAATATACCTTATATATTTCAATTTAAACTAGTTAAATTATCGTAAAAAATGATCAATACATTGTCCTNATTAACTCATAGGTATTTTGTGTGCATTCCACAATATATTTTTATATTTACATCAGAAAAAATGTGTTGTTTTATTAATATTTACAAATTAATAAAACCCAATGTCTTTTTTTTATGAAAATCTCAAAAATATACCTTATATATTACAATTTAAACTGGTTAAATTATCGTAAAAATGATCAATACATTGTCCTACAATCAAATATTCATATTTTAAGAAAATTGTACTCATATTTCTCAATTGATCATTAATAATTTTACCATAATAGACCTATATACCCATATATACCTTTTATAACTATTTAATTACACAGTTTTATTTGTTTTGAATGATATTTTTATACTTTCATAACTTCCTATTGCGTTAAATGTGTATATATTTACGTATCTTATCAATTAATCAGTAGTTTCCTAATTATTTACATATTATAAAAAGGATATCTAAAACTTGTTTTATGAGATGTATTCAAACAAAATTTTTAATGAAATTTAATTAATTTTCATAATATTATTGATCTTTTACATTAATTTCTTTGAATACATAGTTCTGGAAAGTATATTTATAGTTAAATACCATTTGAAAGAAATATTACATAAAATTCCTCAAAAATATAAATATAATAAGATAGTTTTACAGTATAATCATGTTATTTTAAATATCTTAAATATACTAGAAAACAATTATAAAGACCATATTATATTTTTGTTGTGTAAGTATTAGATGTGAAATAAATCGATAAGAACATCTATTATATTTACTGGTCAAAATTAATTATAAGTTTAGTGTCCAGTACTATTTGTTTATTTTAGAAAATAATCTAAAAAAACTAATCTATTTAGAGACCATTTGAGAAATATGAGTAATATTTAGAAATCTGTAGGAGGGGNAGAAAACAATTATAAAAACCATATTATATTTTTGTTGTGTAAGTATTATATGCGAAATTCATCGATAAGAACATCTATTATATTTACTTGTCAAAATTAATTATAAATATAGTGTCCAGTTCTATTTGTTTATTTTAGAAAATAATCTAAAAAAACTAATCTATTTAGAGACCATTTGAGAAATATGAGTAATATTTAGAAATCTGTAGGATGGGAGAATGAAATTAAAATTTTAACTTTTTCTTTGTATAGGTATACCTAACCATAAATTACTTATTATACAATATAATTAAACTAAGTATCGAGGCCACCTCATTATTAGTACAACCCTGATATATTCATGTATACATAAAATATACATATTATTTACATATACATATACATATTTATTACTCGAGTATATTGTGTACATTTAGTACATATACTTAGTGTTCACAATATTTACGGCTGAAACGAGCCTTATTTTAACTCATATTTAGATAATAATCTCTATTATGATTTCGCTCATATATATATTTATTTTAAGTATTATAATGAAAGTACTCAGTTGAATTTACTAATTTTAAATCATTTATTAAAAGGTGTTATTATAAAAGTATATTATTAGATTATTATTATAAGTGTAAATTATCTCTGATCTGTATTGCGTTCAATGAGGATCTAAGTGTAAGTTGATCGATTGGTCTAATGGCACAATTTTGGCTTATTTCACTTCGCTAAGAACCTGATTAAATTATAGCGCCAGCATTATTATCAAAAATGTCTATTATACCCGGAAGAGTTTATATTGATGCAAATGTGAGATGCTGTACTTCTTCGTAAAAAATTATGTTATTGTTATAATAGACACTTATTAAACTCTAATAAGCTGATAAAATGTATTGGAGCTGCCTTTTATGATGTATAAAATGTTTATACAAGTCAATACGCTTAATTGCAAAATTCTATATTATACTGAGAACTAAACCGGATGAATCATTGTGGTTCCTTATATTGTTTATAACCACGCGTACCTTTACACGAATTTTGACGTTGCTTGCATTCTCACTGTACATTTGAATATTACCTCATTATATCACACAGATCTTCTAAAACAACGTATTATAAATTTTTTTTTTTATCACCATTAATATATACTTTTACAGGTCGGGATTATTTATTTTCTAATCAATTAATTATACAGAGTTAATGATAAATCGCTNTTATACAAATCAATACGCTTAATTGCAAAATTCTATGTTATACTGAGAACTAAACCGGATGAATCATTGTGGTTCTTTATATTGTTTATAAACACGCGCACCTATACACGAATTTTGGTGATGCTTGCATTCCTACTGTACATTTGAATATTCAGTCATTATATCACATAGATCTTCTAAAACATTGTAATATACATTTTTTTTATTTTTTTTTTTATCACCATTAATAAATACTTTTACAGGTCGGGATTATTTATTTTCTAATCAATTAATTACACAGAGTTAATAATAAATCACTTACATATAGATTTTACAATATTTTAAGAGTATTTTAGTCTAGTAATATAACAAATTATCCGTAGGTATTGAGTTATTTTATATCATAACATATACGTCGTCTTTGTTTTTTGTTATAATTATTACATGTTCAAATTATAAATAAATATACAAAACAAACGTAGTTACTAGTTACAGCACCCATAAAACGTAAATATTATTACGATATTNAACAACGTATTATAAATTTTTTTTTTTATCACCATTAATATATACTTTTACAGGTCGGGATTATTTATTTTCTAATCAATTAATTATACAGAGTTAATGATAAATCGCTTTCATATAGATTTTACAATATTTTAATAGTATTTCAGTCTAATACAATAACGAATTATCCGTAGGTATTGAGTTGTTTTATATCATAATATATACGTCTCCATTTTCTTTATTATAATTATTACATGTTCAAATTATAAATAAATATACAAAACAAACGTAGTTACTAGTTACAGCACCCATAAAACGTAAATATTATTACGATACCGTTTTTATTGAAACAATTCGACATTATAACAGTTTTGTTTTGATTTTCGGATATTAATAATCTCTACCTATATGTACACGGAATCGTAAATCGTATTTTACTACTAATTTTTTACTTTTATCNATTTTCTACGCTTGTAACTACATTTTATTTAAGTGACAAGCAAAACCATTTATTACATTTTTTTATTTAAATCAATAAATTTATTACTTTGAATAATATTGTGTATAATTCATTAATAGAAGTAATAAAGCACCATGGAAAACGAACTAGGATCGGACATTGAACTGATCGAAGATGAGGATATGCTACGGGAAATGGTACGAAATGATTGAATTTGTTTAAAAAAAATCTAGTTATTTACTTTTCTTTTCTTTTAGTGGCAAAAAACCGAGGACTATAGAAAAAAGAAAGAAATTCGTATGAGGATGTTTAAGCTTCGGAAAAGACATCTTAAAGAACTTTACACAACGGAAGATATGATTCAAACTAATGCTACATCGGAACGCTCTTCGACAAACACTCATACGGAATCTATTACGGATCAAGGATTTATAATGAAGAAAACGAAAGAGATTAAAGATTCTCAATTACCTTCAGAATTTTACGGAAAAAAATTAAATACTAATACTAATTTTCGAGTAAAAGAAGTAAAACCAAAAGAAAAATCTCCAGTTAAACAACGAGAACATTTTTCAGTTAAACAATTAAATTCTTTAATAAAAGAAATAAAACCATCTTCTGAAGAAAAAGATTTAGATAATGAGACTACATTTACAGTTGCAGATAGAGTGTCTAAGTTTTTTAAAAATGTTCCCAAAAAAAATGAAGAAAAACCTAAAGAAACCGTAAAAAATCTTAAGGACGAAAAATATGATACAAAAATTATACACATTGATGTTGACGATTCGTCAGAGAATACAAACATACACAAACCAATTTCGACACGGAAAATTTCTAGAGCGTCTGGCTATAAAGCCAGAAAAGATTTTTTTGAAAACAAAAATTTAAATAATAATTCGGATATAGCAATTCCAATAACTACCCAAGAGATAGTAAGATCATCAATAATAAACTGCCGTGCTTCATTTGAAGTGAATGATGATAAAAAAACACTATTAAACGACAAAACCAACGTTCCAAAACAAACAACGCCAAATACAAAACATAGATCACATGACCGAATAATTGAAAGCCCGATAAAGATTATGAACACAGATATATTCGATATCAGAGTTGAGAAAAACAATAAATCTAGAAGAATTTTGGAATCAAAGACTATAAAAGATAGAAAAGCAGCTTTCGAAAAGATCGATGTTGCTGAAAAACCAGCTAGACAACATAAATTTACCCTAAAGAGCCAATCTCCAATTTCCATAATTAATACAGATAGACTCTTAGAAATACATAATAAATCAAGTGTGGTTCCTGATAAACCTTCAGAGAATGTCTCTACCAGAAGAATTACAAGTTCTAATATCGGTAAAAAAAGCGCAGAAAAAACTAAAACCATTGACTCTATCAATAATGTTAGTGACAGTGCAGACGGAACAGTTTCGTCAAACAGTGCGGACNAATTATTAACCATGAAACGCAAATGATTACATAATGTTGTTAAATCATCGGCTAGATCTCCCCTAGTAAAAGTTTTTAATTCGTCGAAAAAATTTCAATATTAAACTAATTAAATTTATCAATAATCTAATAATACAAGATATACAAATAAAATTTAAAAAAAGACAATAGCAAAAGAATACAGTATTTTTTTATTTTTATTTTTCATTTTCCTAAAGATCGAAAAGTCTTTGTTTTATTATACACTAGCTGCCCGTTCATATAAAACATTGTCATGACTTATTAAATTACCCTCAATTTACTGTTCTGTTTCAAGCATTATGTGTTTAAATCCTATAAAATTTTAACATATTAATTATACAATTTAATTTTATACCTATTAGAATATATTATGTAAATAGTTACTTTAAAGTGTATATTTTATTTGGTATCCATTTAAAATTTACTACTGACACATTTAACTTAGGAGTGCATAGGCTAAATTCTTTTACATCAACACATCGTTTACAAATTACAAATACTGTGAAAGCCATGTCTATTTATTCACTAATTAGTGGTCAACAATGTTTATAATTATTATAACTCATGTAATGGAATGTTACACTTTCTACATTTGATAACTTAAAAAAAACTAAATAAAAAATTGTCTAAAAGTTAAATAACGCATTTTATAACTCGATATCATAATTATATAAAGTAGGTATATATTATCAATACCTTTTAATAACCACTAATTTGAAAAAAGGTGGATGGAAAATAAAATTCTAGAAAGCGAACCCCATTGCACATATACACCATATACTAAATATGCCAAAATTATCTAAAAAATTGTCTAAAAGATAAATAACGCATTTTATAACTCGATATCATATTTATATATAGTAGGTATATATTATCAATACCTTTTAATAACCACTAATTTGAATAAAAGTTGTATGGAAAATAAAATTCTAAAAAGCGAACCCCATTGCCCATATACACCATATACTAAATATGCCAAAATTATTATACAAATTACAATTTTAATTCAGTACGTACTTATTTGGTTTTTTTTTACGAGTACTATTAAACACTGAAAATAAACATGATCCTTTCAGAATTAATTAATATTGACATTTTTTCGACAAATAAAAAACTTTTTCAAGGGAAGTTCTAGTTGATGAATTACCAACATTATGTAATAATTTGTTTTTCGTGGTTTATAACTTAGTCACTTCCTTGTTAAATTTTAATCATTTAGCTTTGTGCCAATTTCAGTTATTTATAATTAAAAGCGAAAAAAAAAGTAAAATACATCTCAAATTTTCAAACATTTCTGTAAAGTCTAACAATTGTATCCACAGAGTACCTACTGAATGAAAACGAAGGAAAAAGCTAGCAAAATAAAAATATCAATAAATAGGTTAAAAATTAATCGTGTAATTTTAAAATTTTACTACATCACCATCTGGATTAAAACTTCAACAAAAATGACATAAATGTGTATTTAATTAATTTTAAAATTTACCAATCAAAAAATAACGTGTTAAACAAATAAAACAATTTCTTATTCAATACATATTTCTACATTTATTAAATGTTATTATATTTTTATCTAGCTTGAAAAGGCAATGTGTTACGATCAAAAAAGACGAATAATAGCGCAAATACGAAGTGTTAAACGTCACCTTGAAACAACAATACGTGGAAAGGATACAAGAAAAAGTCCTGAACCAGTACAAAAAACCAAATCTATTATAAAAAGACAAGCTGAAGAACCTAATGTGAATAGCGAAAAATATGAAATAAAAATTATACACATTGATGTTGACGATTCGTCAAAGAATGCAAACACACACAACCCCATTTCGACACGGAAGATTTCAGGAGCGTCTGACTTTAAAGCCAGAAAAGATTTTTTTGAAAACAAAAATTTAAATAATAATTCGGATATAGCAATTCCCATAACTACCCAACAGATNTTGAACCAACAATACGTGGAAAGGATACAAGAAAAAGTCCTGAACCAGTAAAAAAAACCAAATCTATTATAAAAAGACATATTGAAGAACCTAATGTGAATGACGAAAAAAAAGAAATAAAAATTACACACATTGATGTTCACGATTCGTCAGAGAATACAAACATACACAACCCAATTTCGACACGGAAGATTTCTGGAGCGTCCGACTATATATCCAGGAGAGAGTTTTTTGAAAACAAAAAATTAAATAATAATTCGGATATAGCAATTCCCATAACTATCCAACAGATAGTAAGATCATCAATAATAAACCGCCGTGCTTCATTTGAAGTGAATGATGATAAAAAAACACTATTAAAAGACAAAACCAACGTTCCAAAACAAACAACGCCAGATACAAAAAATAGATCGCATGACCGAATAATTCGGATATAGCAATTCTCATAACTACCCAACAGATAGTAAGATTATCAATAATAAACCGCCGTGCTTCATTTGATGTGAATAATGATAAAAAAACACTATTAAAAGACAAAACCAACGTTCCAAAACAAACGCCAGATACAAAAAATAGATCGCATGACCGAATAATTGAAAGCCCAATAAATATTATGAACACCGATTTATTCGATATCAGAGTTGAGGAAATCAATAAATCTAGAAGAATTTTGGAATCAAAGACTATGAAAGATAGAAAAGCAGCTTTCGAAAAAATCGATGTTGCTGAAAAACCAGCTAGGCCACATAAATTTACCCTAAAGAGCCAATCTCCAATTTCCGTAATGAATACAGATAGACTCTTAGAAATGTATACTAAATCAAGTGTGGTTCCTGATAAACCTTCAGAGAATGTCTCTAGTAGAAGAATTACAAGTTCTAATATCGGTAAAAAAAGCGCAGAAAAAACTAAAACCATTGACTCTATCAATAATGTTAGTGACAGTGCAGACGGAACAGTTTCGTCAAACAGTGCGGACAGAAATGTTAAAGAAACTCCGGAAAGGAGTACGGCCAAGTGTTTTGAAGAAAAACCAACGGATTCGAAAATCGATACAAGCAGAAATCGTAATGAACAATATACAGCAACAGAAACTGTATCTGTACCAATAAATACTTCAAATGTAATTAAAGCTACTACAGTTCATACTGCAAATGATAAAACACAGAACCTTTTAGAGCTTATGGTGAATATACAAATATAATATATATAATAATATTTATTACTATTATGATAAATTAATAATGTCAAGATAATAGCCAGGTGAGGTGAATTTAATAGCATGTAATTTCTACTTCCTTAAAATAGGTATCAAGATACGAAAATTACACATCTGTGTGTATGTAGTCTATCTACTACGCCGTAAAATAAAGTGTAAAACTTTTTAATCACAACAGAATTGTCAGATTATATTATTATAGAGAGATACATTAATTTATTTATTTAACGAACGCTAATACTCGTGTTTTTAAAGAATTGCCCAAAAGAAATGTAAAATATATATTTGAGTAACATAAAAACAAAAATAAATAATAAAATAATGTTTAAGTTTAAGTCAAATTTGCTAAACTGCATTAAAGTCCTTTTTGTTTTTCAATACGTGTTTTAAAAAACAATAATATGTAAAAAAAATATCGGATACTGAGGACAGTTGCGGCCGCTATTGTAGATGGGTAGTTGGGAAGGTGGGATGCCTAAAGTTATTTAATTTATACCTGTAACTAACGATAATAAATAAGTATAATAATAGTAATATTAAGTATAATAAATAAGTATCTAAACACTTCTATGTATTTATTTATTTTTAAAATGTATCAATCAAATATTAATGTGTTGAACAAATAGANAAAAGATAGGAATAAAGAAAAATATATTTCAAATATAAAAGTTGAACTGTTGTATCAAGTGGTTGATAGGTATTTATTACATAACTAATTACTAATTTCATTTAATTAATTCATAAAAGTATGTGTTATTTTTTAGGATTGTAGCACGGTTAGACGGACGTTTTTCAAAAAGTGAACAAATTTTTGACATATTTAATGTATTTGGTTATACAAATGGTTACTTTTTTCAGGCAGAATGTACTGCTATTAATGAATTCTTAGACCAATATAAAAGTTCTCCAATTAATTCTTTAAGAGGACATTATACCCGCATCTATTGTCTCAGTTCAACTGCTGGGTAATATGCAAAAACAATGTTTACGCAGAATAAGTAAAACCGGCTAAATTTTGATTTTGAGGGAAAAGAGCCTATTATGAAATTCATAGAGAACAATATTTCAGAAAGAATTTCATAAGTTTTTTTTTGTAATTATAAACTATTAAAAAAGTTACAGTTATTTAAAAACCAAAAAAAAAATTTTTTGTAATTTTTATATCGAGCCGTACATTTTGAATAATACAAAAACCCTACAACATTTCCTCCATAATATTGTTCTCTATAATTTTTATAATGAGTACTTTTACTCTAAAATTGAAATTAAGCTAGTTTTACTTATTGTGCATATGCATTGCATTTGCATATCAACCGGTAGTTGGACTGAGACAGTAGATGTGGGTAAAACGTCCTCTTAAGCCTGCCATCAGAATTTTCTTTAATTAAGGCAACATTTGAACTAGAAGACATGTCCCAATTAAAATTAAAATTAATATTTAATATTGTTTTAAAGCTACCGTTTGCATTTCCTGAAATCACAAAAATATTGTCTATAATGTTAACATTACCAGTGACAACTGCATCAAGTGAACGTTTCTTTCTTCACCAAAATTGATAAACAATTTCTTGAGGACATTAATTGGTGCTGAAAGATTAAATGATTTAATGGTTCTTAGAATTAAAACTGAAGAAGCAAAACACTTTAGTAAATCATTTTCACAATAATTTAACTAATATATATTTGATTTTAAAAAGGCACAATTTTAGAATTTTCATAATTAATTGACGATTATAAAATTTGATATTACTTTTTTTGTCATGAAAATTGTATTACTTAAAAGCCGAAGTAAGTTCATATATAAAATAAATTAATTTATCCATACTTTTCTTAGCTGTACATTTAGGATTGTATCTATGATCTTCATTTAAAATTGAAAGGATACTATTTAGAATTATGCTGATAAAATATTTCCTTCCTTTGTAAGAAGTACTGACATTTTTCAATATTTATAAATCAACTAAACTAACCCTTTTCAGAATACAAATTTATTGAGAAAAAAAATTCCATACTTCATTATAAAGAAATATATACTTATGGCTATTTTTTGTTCATTCTAAAATAATTTTTTGATTGAAATCAGTACAATGTGTTGTTTTTTTTAAATTTAAAAATCAATAACAGACAATGTCAATTTAAAATCTTAAAATTCCCAAATTATTTCAATTTAAATTAGTTGAATTATAGTAAATATGATAAATAAAATGTCCTTAAATCAAATCAATCATTTATTAAATATAATAAAAATGTATTCATATTCTTTAGATGGTTTGTATATGAGTTGGTATTTTTATATTAGATTTATACGAAAATATTATATATTAGGAGACAGACATTGAATAATACACCTTATATACCTTATACTGATAGTCCAATCTGTTTTATTTGTTGTCAATGATATTTTTATAATTTCATAACTTGATATTGTGTAATGTGTATATATGTATTAAGTATACAAATTTTTCAGCAATTTCCTAAATATTTGGTATTTTTAACTAATCTATAACTATTAGTGAAAGATGTATAGATACAATCATTTTGATTTGTTTGTATTAAACAAGATTTCTCAATATTGATTATGTTGATAACACATATGTGTCTTTTGTATAAAGTTTTGACATTTTTCTGTGTTTTAATTAAGCATATCTGTTTGGGTAATACAATTTACATTATTATAGAAATTAATATCAAATTTTATCATTAGCAAAAATACAGTTTAAAATATTTTGTGTTCATTGAACCTAATTCAAAATTGCTTTGAATATCTCAAATGTATAACTTAAGTATATCAATGTAAAAAAGGTAAATTATACATTTATTTAATTATATATTAAAATATTTTAAGAAAATATAGCTCATATTTTGTAAATGATCTCTAAATGTTTAGTGTATTTAGAAATGAAATTTATGAGTTAAGTCATTTATATTTTTTCTTTTATTTATTTATATGAAACAAGATTTTTGAAAAAAAATTCTGTTGATAGTGTAAATCTATCATTAGTATTATATACTGTCATTATTTTATGTATATAGTTCAACTTACACCTTTGAGAGATGTGTTAAATATAAATATAAATAAAAATTATTAATGTTATTCTCCATAAATATTATATTTATGTAGGAAAAAAATCTATAAACAAAAATCTATTTAGGGACTATTTAAGAAATATGAGTACAAATGTCTTATAATTTAATTATATTAATTTAGGATATCAATATATAGATTGGTCTTCTAATACTTTCACTTATTAAAATTTAAATGGTTAAAGTATAAATTTGAGACTTTCATAATAAATTGATATTAGGTTTTATTGAATTGTTAATATTAAAATAAAATATACACATCAAAACTTGTCTTATCATAATACAATTTCCTATCACAATGAAGAAGATAACATGTTTTGGAAAGGTAAAGAAATCATTATGAAGATTAATCAAATATAATTAATTGTTTTATTAATTTTGTATACTTAAAATGGGTACCTTAATTAAAATTATTTATAATTTGTACTTAAAAGAGTATTACACATTTTACATAATCTTTGTTCTAAATTTGTATTTAAATCTCACTATATAACATAGTGTATAAAATATTGACTATTTGGATAAATCACTGGGAATAAATTATAACTAACATTGTATACTTATAATAGGTACCTTTATTAAAATTATTTATAATTTGTACTTTAAAGAGTATTACACATTTTACATAATCCTTGTTCTAGATTTGTATTTAAATCTCACTATATAATATAGTGTATAAAATATTGACTATTTGGATAAATCACTAGGAATAAATTATAACTAACATATACCTACATTGCATATACACTCAGTTTTACAATAAACATTCAGTAAATCAATATACTTATTGACAAACCAAGACACATCATCCAAGTTTAAATAATCTGAAAAACAAAATCATAAAATTTGTACTTTATTGATAAGAATTTATCTTATTTAAAAAAAATAAAAGTATTTATAGTTAATACTCAAATTAAAATACTAGAAACTAGAAAAAGACATTCAGTATATCAATATACTTATTGACAAACCAAAACACATCATCCAAGTTTAAATAATCTGAAAAACAAAATCATTAAATTTGTATTTTATTGATAAAAATTAATCTTATTTAAAAAAAATAAAAGTATAAATAGTTAATACTCAAATTAAAATACTAGAAACTAGAAAAAGAATATTTTAACAAGATTTATATACACTAATATAAGTGAGAATAAACAACGTAAATACTATAATAGATAAAATATTATATTATTTTAAAAAATAAGAATAAAAAATAGCATTTTCATTTCCTATAAGACAAATTATTACTAGAACAAATCCAAAATAATAAAAATGTTATTGGCATAAACTTTCATAT